ATTTACTACAGTGTGTATATCATTTACTACAGTGTGTATATCATATACTACAGTGTGTATATCATTTACTACAGTGTGTATATCATATACTACAGTGTGTATATCATATACTACAGTGTGTATATCATTTACTACAGTGTGTATATCATTTACTACAGTGTGTATATCATATACTAGTGTGTATATCATATACTAGTATGTATATCATATACTAGTATGTATATCATATACTAGTATGTATATCATATACTACAGTGTGCATATCATATACTACAGTGTGTATATCATATACTACAGTGTGTATATCATATACTACAGTGTGTATATCATATACTACAGTGTGCATATCATATACTACAGTGTGCATATCATATACTACAGTGTGCATATCATATACTACAGTGTGCATATCATATACTACAGTGTGTATATCATATACTACAGTGTGTATATCATATACTACAGTGTGTATATCATTTACTACAGTGTGTATATCATTTACTACAGTGTGTATATCATTTACTACAGTGTGTATATCATATACTACAGTGTGTATATCATTTACTACAGTGTGTATATCATTTACTACAGTGTGTATATCATTTACTACAGTGTGTATATCATATACTAGTGTGTATTAGGGCTGCAACAACGAATCGATGAATTCGATGAAAATCGATTACTAAAAGCGTTGGCAACGAATTGCGTCATCGATTCGTTGTGTCGCACAACTCTTCCAAAAGCGCCCCCCCCCCCCCCCCCCGTTGCGCGCAGACCAGAGCAAGTCAGATCAGCGCGAGGGAGAGCCGCAGATCAGCGCGAGGGAGAGCCGCAGATCAGCGCGAGGGAGAGCCGCAGATCAGCGCGAGGGAGAGCCGCAGATCAGCGCGAGGGAGAGCCGCAGATCAGCGCGAGGGAGAGCCGCAGATCAGGGCGAGGGAGAGCCTGCAGACTTGCGCTGCTGCGAACCGGTTCCGCATTGTTGCACAGCGATCCAGGCAGCTGCTTCCAGCGCACGGTCCATTCTCAAAGTGGCGCAACCAAAAAACTATAATTAGCACACGATAGTTCTTGTCCGCACATGTTCTCTATTTTCTGTCTTATTTGTGCCTGAAGCGCTCTGCTGCGGAGCTCATCACCTGTGCTGTGGTGATTTCACCTCACGCAGCATCGAAAACGCGCTCTCCGCTTTGCGGTCAGGAGATCTTTGATCTGCTCAAAAGTAACTGATGAGGTGAAAAAGTAAGAATCCAGGCAACAGATTTTCTGGAGAATTATGAGGAGATGCAGGAAGATGAGAGACAGACAGGACAGGAAAATAGTTAAATAAAAACAAGAAAACAAAGTAAAATGTAGGTAGATTCATCTCCACTACACGTTTTTACCAGTAAAAAACAATAAGTTATACCCATGTCATAGTTATACATCTGATACAATTCAGATCACCTTCAAAACTCAGTCACACACCCAGGGCCGTTTCAAGACATTTTGGGGGCCAAGGCAAAATGTCCCCCCCCCCCCCCCCATAACTGGGCTCCCCAGAAGCCTCTGTGTAATTCATACCCTCTCCAGGAGTGTTAGTTATACGGTGTTTATAAAAGCCCCTCAGACATTACTGACATGTTCTAATATATCAGATGAAAAACTAAATTATCAGACATGCTGTCTCATCAGCTTCTTTTCTAAACTTGCAAAAAGTAACAAAACCATTTGAAAGCCACTATTTGTGGATTATCTGAAAGTTTCCATGGAGTGTGTGACAACTTATTTTATCATTGATCCTATCGTCTAATCTCACAGCTGAAACAAGCATCCTTAATAATCTGTGCACAGGAAGCTTACCGATGCTGTAGTAAAACAAAAGGTATAATAATTTATTATTAATAAAACCTTGTTGCAGCACTAAAGCATAAAAATGAGATTTTGCATTAAATATGCAAAATATTTACATATGAAATGTTTTAGAGCCCTTTTATTGGCAGAATCTGATATTAATTTAGTTCTTACAAAAAATGGGTCCCAACATGGTTTGTGTGGTGTTGCCATAGTGTGACGTCATAGGCACAGATCCCCTGTCCTCTTGTTTGGAAATGGAAATATGGTCACCCTACATTAAACAAACTGTCCACCCGGGCTTTTGCGCTTCACAGAGACGCTTCGCTGCCTACGACTGAACGTCAGTTGAGAGTCAGTCTCATGCAGACTGACCAATGAAGAGAGGGCCTCAAGTTAAGACCCTCTCCTCATTGGTCAGTCCACACGAGGTGGGTCAAAGGTTACTCTGGGCGGGTTACGTGTTGTCAGGCATTCAAGTATTGAGTATATTTACTGCATATTACAGTAAAATATTCTGTATGTGACCACATTATGGTGATCCTCGGGTCGTGATGATGGAGCCCTTGAATATTGTTGCCCAGGGTACAACAAAGTGTTAATCTGGCCCTGGTTCCGCCGTCACATTCCCGCAGAAACTGGTTGATCACACCGGGGCCAGACTACTAGCATGTGGTTTTACAACCACAATGTCCTCGGAAGCAAAAACGCTTTTAAAAGGGAGGGAGGAGTCCTAACTGTTGCTGCAGGCGTGTTGTGTGAGAGTGCAGTTATATACTGGTTAATATATTTTTGGGTTCAGTTGCTTTCATGTGGCCTAATGTGAGTCTATTTGGGATCATTGGAATGATCAGCAGCATTTCTTGATGTGACTTTATGGCAGTTGCCCAGGGCATCATCGCAAGGAGAATGGCATTCATTTACTTTTGTTTTATTTGGTATTTTTTCAGTCATTTTTGGAAATAGTGATCAATTTTGATTAATTCACAGCCTGTGTTTAATTACATTTAAAATAAATGTCAACAGATGAGATCAAACAAAACAGATGAGAATTGCCCTTAAGCTGTTTAACTTGGACCAAGCATTTTAGGTCACAGATAGATGTAGCTTAGGGTCTCTGTCTATACACCTTATAAGACAATTTAGGTGATGGCATGTTGTTTTTCTGCTATTGAACTGTTTTCTAATAATGTTGTGTTAAATAAAGTGAAGGAAGGAGAGAAATAACGTTTCCCTAGCAGTTTTTAAAAATTTCCCCATGTAATCCGATTAATCGATTAATCGTGTCGAGACCCCATCCGATTAATCGATTATCCAAATAATCGTTTGTTGCAGCCCTAGTGTGTATATCATATACTAGTATGTATATCATATACTACAGTGTGCATATCATATACTACAGTGTGCATATCATATACTACAGTGTGTATATCATATACTACAGTGTGTATATCATATACTACAGTGTGTATATCATATACTACAGTGTGTATATCATATACTACAGTGTGCATATCATATACTACAGTGTGCATATCATATACTACAGTGTGCATATCATATACTACAGTGTGCATATCATATACTACAGTGTGCATGTCATATACTACAGTGTGTATATCATATACTACAGTGTGTATATCATATACTACAGTGTGTATGTCATATACTACAGTGTGTATATCATATACTAGTGTGTATATCATATACTAGTGTGTATATCATATACTAGTGTGTATATCATATACTACAGTGTGTATATCATATACTACAGTGTGTATATCATATACTACAGTGTGTATATCATATACTACAGTGTGTATATCATATACTACAGTGTGTATATCATATACTACAGTGTGTATATCATATACTACAGTGTGTATATCATATACTAGTGTGTATATCATATACTAGTGTGTATATCATATACTACAGTGTGTATATCATATACTACAGTGTGTATATCATATACTAGTGTGTATATCATATACTAGTGTGTATATCATATACTAGTGTGTATATCATATACTACAGTGTGTATATCATATACTACAGTGTGTATATCATATACTAGTGTGTATATCATATACTAGTGTGTATATCATATACTACAGTGTGTATATCATATACTACAGTGTGTATATCATATACTACAGTGTGTATATCATATACTACAGTGTGTATATCATATACTACAGTGTGTATATCATATACTAGTGTGTATATCATATACTAGTGTGTATATCATATACTACAGTGTGTATATCATATACTACAGTGTGTATATCATATACTACAGTGTGTATATCATATACTACAGTGTGTATATCATATACTAGTGTGTATATCATATACTACAGTGTGTATATCATATACTACAGTGTGTATATCATATACTAGTGTGTATATCATATACTACAGTGTGTATATCATATACTAGTGTGTATATCATATACTACAGTGTGTATATCATATACTACAGTGTGTATATCATATACTACAGTGTGTATATCATATACTAGTGTGTATATCATATACTACAGTGTGTATATCATATACTAGTGTGTATATCATATACTACAGTGTGTATATCATATACTACAGTGTGTATATCATATACTACAGTGTGTATATCATATACTAGTGAGTATATCATATACTAGTGTGTATATTATATAGTACACTGTAAAATATATAGTACAGTGTGTATATTATATAGTAAACTGTGTATATCATATACTAGTGTGTATATCATATACTACAGTGTGTATATCATATACTACAGTGTGTATTATATAGTACAGTGTGTATATCATATAGTACAGTGTGTATATCATATAGTACAGTGTGTATATCATATAGTACAGTGTGTATATTATATAGTACAGTGTGTATATCATATAGTACAGTGTGTATATCATATAGTACAGTGTGTATATTATATAGTACAGTGTGTATATTATATAGTACAGTGTGAGCAAACAGAACACCCATCAGTACAACAGACTGATAAACCGAGCAGAACCAGAATCCTGACCCTGATCCCTGGGTGGTTACCTTCGGAGGACAGCTGCTCGTACTCATCGGAGACCATGTGGGCGCACAGAGGGAACTCGTCTACCTTGGCCTTCTTCCTGCCCAGGTCAAAGATCCGGATCTTTGGATCTGTAAGGAGAAAAGACCCAAAACACCTGAGCTGCAGATCTAAACTCAGCATCTAAGTTCACTTAAAACTAAGTCTGTCTCAGTGGTCCCTTAAAGCACTCAGCACCTCCCAGCTGAGCACATACACAACCAAAGAGTCGCTGTCTGCAGCTTTTGCACACCAGAACCGCACCTGAGCAGAACCGGTCGGCTTAATAAGCTGCAGCGAAACCAGAGCAGATACACAAAAGCAGGAAGAGGCCAACCGACATTCGTTTGTTTCTATATCGGCCGAAAGCCAATAAAAAACTAAAATCAGGCACCCATGTGGCCAACTGCCGCCCCCACTAGACTGCTGAAAGGACCCGGAGGACGCCAACACACCGTGAGCCCGCCCATCCAACAGCGCTGTGCTCCAGGTCACCTTACGTTGAAATAAACGTAAGATTTCTTCCCTCATCTTTACAAGGCAGAGCATGCAATGTTGTTCTAACCTTTTAAATGTATTAATCCAGTGGTCATCAAACGCGTCACGTTACCCGTTTAGGATTCTAGTACACACGTACACGCCGCGGCAGCCATTAGGTGTAGCTTCTGTCCTCCTGAGCTTTAACAGAACAAACAGCTGGACTTTTCTGGTTCTCTTTAAGACGTTTTCTTCTCTTCCTAGAGGCTTCTTCACTTTGGTTGTTAGTAGAAGGCTGTGTTAAGGTCAGAAATAAACACGGACTGTGCCGAGCCTCTTTAGTTCATCATTTGAAAACGTTTTAGTCTAAATTACGGTGATGCATATTGTGTATGTGTGTGTGTGTGTGTATATATAGGCCTTAATAGCCGGCTTTAGATATCAGCAACAAAATTCTTTAAAAATCGGTATCGAACTTAAAAAACAAAAATAAAAACATCAGTCGGCCTCTAAGCAGAAAAAACAAACAAACAAGGACAATAACATCAGGCTGGTAAAGACTTGAAACATGCAGCATAATCTGACATGAATTACATTCAGACCCGATCCTTAATCCTGAATCTGTCGATGACAGGTGAGTTTATGTTCTTATAAACACACCAAGAAACGATATTCCAGCACATCTGTTAACCAGCTCTGTGGTGGACCAGGATTAGACCCACTAACCCTAACCAGCAGAACACAAAGCAGGTGTGGGAGCTTACCAGGAACACCCCTGCAGAAGCGAGACTTGGGGTAAGGCTTGTTCTTGCAGTAGCGGTAGCTGCGGGGGGACAAGTCCGTTAAACTAATGTTTACCAGTGAGATCAGAAACTTTACAGTTACAGGTCAGAACATCTGGATGATGAACGTTTACGTTAGCAAAACGAAGACGGTGAAGCTTATGTGGCCCGAGGTAAGCGAACAGAGCCTAAATGTCTTCTTGGGAGTCAATTTATTAATCAGACTTATAGGTGATGTTGGAAAATATCACAAAAATGAGTAAATCCAGCTTTTTAACCGAAAACTCTAAACGTACATTAGTGTTGCCAGTGTATGCTAGCTCCTAGCCAACCTTAGCTCAGCATGCTAACTCTACGAGACCAGGCTTAAGAGTAGGATGTCTGTATATTTGTATAAAAGTGATGATTAAAAACAACGTGTCTATAATGGATGTTGTGGTTCTGGTGGAAGAGCGAGGCTGGCTGCCGAGGCCTGCCGGTGCACATGGAGCAGGCGCGGAGCCGCTGCCATTTTCCTCAGAATCACGATGAACTCGGAGCGGTTTGCTCTGAAACGAAGAACTTACCAGCGCGCGGGTCGGCGGCCCATGGTTACGGTCTGAAAAAATAACAAACAAAATGTGTTACTTTAGTTCGACCCAACGCTATTTTAACATCTAAATCATTAAAACCGTGAGTTTATCGGACAGCGCTGAAAACGCGGTGGCACCACGCACTCACCTAATGGAGGAAAGGAAGAACAAACTACTTCCGCTTCGTCATGACGACTGAGGTCAAATACCGGAGGCAAGTTTCATGTTGTAGTTTATATTTTCTTTAGCTCTGGGTCTATTCCGTTACAGAAACAATTATTATATATTTATGATGTACATTTAATCTTGTAAATGTGCGTTTTATGTCCGTTGAGTAGGTTTAGCGGGAATTCTGGGAAGTGTAGTTTTAGGAGCGAAGCCGCGAATCAAGCTCGCCCCCTACCGTCCTCCCGATGAAACTTCTCAATCTTCTTTAAAAACATAAACTAAATTTAAATTTTATGTTTTATTTTAATACAAAAAGTTTCAAACAAGCAGTCATTCTGGCGGCGCGCGCAGCTGCAGAACCGGGCATGCCCGTCCCGTCAACAGCAGGTGGCGCTCACCGCTCCGCCCATCTCACAACCGGAGCGGAAAAAACCCAGACGGGATTTTGTGTGTGAAATAAGCCAGTTAAAGTTTACTTAAGTGTTGTTTGTGTGCGTGTTGTTCAGTAGCTCATGCTATAAATAATACCATGGCTTTTTTCATAAGCCCTACTGCGTGATGCGTGTTGGTGTGGTGAGACGAGTGCCTGCTGAGGGCGAGACCAGAGACTGCTGGAGTCGGACGCTGAAGCCGGGACGCCGCCTTTCCCATCCTGGAAATTCCCTCCGCGTGACGTTGTGGATCTGGGAAGAGCCCAACTATCTTTTGGGGTCTTTTTGAAGAACGTTTTAAACTGCTTTTATGGACTCAAACTTTTTAGTTGTATATTTTTAGATGGTTTTTTTATTTAGTTAATAAAAGAGGTTGCAGACAAACTTCTGCTCTCTGGTGTCTCTGTCCCTCTGGTTTTGCACCCTCCTCTCCACCTGTGTCGTTGGGAATCTCCGCGTGACGCTGGAGCGGCGCGTTGCCTAGGTTACAATTACACAGAGATTCTCTATCTCACACCACCAGTTGTGATCACTAAAACAGCACAATGGAAAGCCACAATATGAGCCGAGAGATTATTAGACTCAACGAACTGCTACACAGAGAAAGATCTCTGAGACATCACGAGAAGAAAGAGCTCGAAAAGCTGAAGGAAGAACTCAGAAAAACTCGACGCAAGTTAAGATCTTCACAAAATCTACAAACTAACAGCAATTTACAAGAAACGTCTGAAGGTCCATCTGAAGAAACGAGTGTAAAATATTCACATCTCTGTTCTGAGGATGAACTGGAACTTGAAGAACGGATAAAAACTCAGGAAGAAACAAGGAGAAGTCATGAAATAATGCAAAGCATGATCGCAGAAAGTGACTCTCATCTGGTTTTGCATAAGGAACTGTTAGCTGCAGAAAAATCCAACGTTCTCGCTGCAAAACAACAGGCGGAACATTTTAAACAAGCGCTTCTTACAGAGAGAGACTCTCATGAAGACACGAAGGCTACTCTTCATAAAAAACTCAACCGTTTGACAGCGGATTACGACTCTCTCAAGGTTTCACATCAGGAACAGGTGAGACAACATGAAATGAGTGTCCTCGCCGCTAATCAAAGGGCTGAACATTTAGAGCAGAAGTTTGAAGAAGAAAGAAAAGCCCATTCAGACTCAGTAGAAGAAAAACTACAAATGATTAGAAATCTGACTGCCCAGAATCAAGAACTCAGTGAACAGCTGATGCAGCAGGATTCGTCTGTCTTGAAAACCTCATTTGAAGAACTGAAAAGGAGTTTTCAGAACGTGCTTGAGGAGAAACATGGTTCATACCTTGAACTAAAAGAGAAACATGAAGCTAGCAAGAAACAGGAACTGTGGTTAGCGAAGGAGTTAGAAAACGAAAGGAAAGCTCATGCAGACACAAAAGATAAAGCTCAACAAACAATCACAAGACTGGTTTCTGAGAAAGATGCATTATATACAAGGATGGGACAACTCGCCTCCGAGATGCTCGAAGTGGAAAAACTGGGTTTCCTGAAAAAACTAGAGGAGAAAGACGTTTTACACCAGGAAGTCAAAGAAAAGTATGAACTTGAGCTTTCTAACCCAAAACACCAGGTGGAAACTTTACAGAATCAGTTAGAAAATGAAAAGAAAATTCATGCAAACAAATTAGCTGAAAAGCAGATCTTTATTGGATGTCTGACTGCTAAGAAGAAGGAAACAAGTACACAACAGAACCAGGGAATCTTTCTGATGAGAACGTCTGAACGTTGAAGAGATGAAAACTAGTTTTCAGAAAGAGTTGGAAGAGAAAAACGTTTTATACCAGGAACAAAAGACAAAGTATGAAACTGATCTACTTGGCATGAAAAAACAGACAGAAGACCTTATGAAGGAGTTAGAAAATGAAAAGTTATTCAGACTCGTTAGAAGAAATCCAAGAAGTTGTGAGAGGTCTGACCGATGAAAAGGAAGTGCTGAGTGATCGGCTGAATGAAAGTGGATTTTTTTTCACATTAGTTTGTTTTTCTGATGTTCTTTTGATTTCTTGTGCTGACACTGATGTTTTTAAGTTTCATTAAACTTGTCAAAGCTAAATAAGTAAGTTTGTGACGTGAGATATGATGTGAATTGTGTGTTTGAGTAGGTCCGTGTCCCTTCTAAACTGTTGATGCTTAACTGGACCTCATCATAACATGTTAGTGTACAAAGTCAGGTGTGGTTGAAGCGTTAAGAAAAGAAAGATGTCTGCATGGCGTGAGTAGGTGATTGGGTGTCGAGGAAGTACCTCCTTCCAGCATGGCGGGGAAAAAAATGCAGCACAAGTGAACTGTCACAGGACTCGATCCAATCGTTTCCGTATGTTCCTAGTGCTGCACGGGGTTTTTTCTGTGGGTGCTCCAGTTCGCCTCCCACCCCAAAACCTGAAATTCCCGACACCGTACCCTGATGGATCTGCTCCGCTTTTAACTAAACACCAAACTCCAAGTCTTCACAAAGCCAAAACCACAATAAGTTACCCGGTGAAGGTTCTCTGTCATCCAGATGGTGGAGATCAAAAAGGGTTCGAATGAAGACAAACGGACGTCTAGTTTATTCAAGACGTTTTGCTCCTTATCCGAGGAGCTTCGTCAATTTGGATTCGATTAGAAGCTTGACCCATTTTCCAGTTAGTTAGTTAGTTAGTTAGTTAGTTAGTGTGAACATTTTGTGTCGTATTTCTAATTCCATGCTGTAGTTCTTTTTTAAAACACAGAACAGTTTTGTTACCCGTGTTCCCGCTACGTTTCGTTTGCAGCTGCAAACTTCCTCAGGCCTGAGTAAATAATATTAACATTATCAATCATCAATCAAATTTATTTATGAAGTGCTTTTCATGCAAATGCAGCTCAAAGCGCTTTACAATCAATACTAAAAACGACCAGAACTAAACTGTTCTGTGTTTAAAAAAGAACTACAGCATGGAATCTGTGCTCTTGCTGCTTGAGTGAATAAACCACCACCATGTCGGCATGGACACTGCTTTATTTGAAACCTTTCTTTTTAGGGGGATCACACTCCTCAGCCTCCCTGGAAAGGTCTACGCCAAGGTACTGGAGAGGAGGGTCCGATCGATAGTTGAATCTCAGATAGAGGAGGAGCAATGTGGTTTTCGTCCTGGCCGTGGAACTGTGGACCAGCTCTATACCCTTGCAAGGGTGATGGAGGGGGCATGGGAGTTTGCCCAACCAGTCCACATGTGTTTTGTGGATTTGGAGAAGGCTTATGACCGTGTCCCCAGGGGGCATCCTGTGGGGGACGCTCCAGGAGTATGGGGTGGGTGGATTTCTGTTAAGGGCCATTCAGTCCCTTTACCAGAGGAGCGTGAGTTTGGTCCGCATAGCCGGTAGTAAGTCGGACCTGTTCCCAGTGAGGGTTGGACTCCGCCAGGGCTGCCCTTTGTCACCGGTTCTGTTCATCACTTTTATGGACAGAATTTCTAGGTGCAGCCATGGTGTGGTGTGTGTCGAGTTTGGTGGCAGGAGAATCTCGTCTCTGCTTTTTGCGGATGATGTGGTCCTCCTAGCTTCATCCAGCTCTGACCTTCAGCTCTTGCTGGGTAGGTTCGCAGCCGAATGTGAAGCGGCTGGGATGAGGATCAGCACCTCCAAATCTGAGACCATGGTTCTCGACCGGAAAAGGGTGGCTTGCCACCTCCGGGTCGGGGGAGAGGTCCTACCTCAAGTGGAGGAGTTTAAGTATCTCGGGGTCTTGTTCACGAGTGAGGGTAGGAGGGATCGGGAGATCGACAGGCGGATGGGTTCGGCGTCTGCAGTGATGCGGACGCTGAGCCGATCTGTCGTGGGGAAGAGGGAGCTGAGCCAGAAAGCCAGGCTCTCGATTTACCGGTCGATCTACGTCCCAATCCTCACCTATGGTCATGAGCTTTGGGTAATGACCGAAAGAACGAGATCGCGGATACAAGCGGCCGAAATGAGTTTCCTCCGTAGGGTGGCTGGGCTCAGCCTTAGAGATAGGGTGAGGAGCTCGGACATTCGGGAGGGACTCGGAGTAGAACCGCTGCTCCTCCGGATCGAAAGGAGCCAGTTGAGGTGGTTTGGGCATCTGGTCAGGATGCCTCCTGGACGCCTCCCCGGGGAGGTGTTTCGGGCATGTCCTGCCGGCAGAAGGCCCCCGGGTCGACCCAGGACACGTTGGAGAGGTTACATCTCCAATCTGGTCCGGGAACGCCTTGGGGTCCTGCCGGAGGAGCTGGTGGACAAGGCCGGGGAGAGGACGGTCTGGAGCTCCCTAATTGGGATGCTGCCCCCGCGACCCGGACCCGGATAAGCGGAGGAAGACGAAGACTTTCTTTTTACCGTGCGTAAAGCCTAACCCTGACGTAGCCCATGGCCATTTGAAAGTACTTGACTATTTTTTGTTTAAGTTTTATGTACAAATGGCCACTAAAAACCCTTCCCCTGGAAGTAAACTGTTCGTTTGGAACTTTGACCTTTTTTGTTCGCATGGATCATCTTTTTGAAAGCCAGGATCGCACACCTGGACGGTGGAGACGAGGACAAAGGCTGGGCCTAGGAGTGGAGGCTGTGTGAGCTGGGCGTGGTGCAAACGCGGTGAGATGCATCTGACACGGAGGAGCTCCCCTGGATGCCGTATTGGACAGTGTTGACGCTGTTGGAGCGCTGGAGCCGCATCTACCGCATGAAGGAGCACCTTTGGTCACAATTCATTTCATTTATTTACTTATTGTAGCACATTAATAAACATTTCTGTAAATGTGCCAGTGTTAGCCAGCAGGCTAATCTTCCACTGTAGTCCAGTGGCAAGATGTTATACTCAGCACGATGGCTAAGGAGAAGAAAGAAAAAAAAACAGATTAAATGAGCATAGTAACTAATTAACATACAACAATAAATCATAATGCCATTACATTCAATTTCATTAAAACATAACACACAAAATAAAAACAAAATAAAAAAAGAAATAAATAATTCATGTACCCATACAACTCATTAGAGAATCAAAGGTGAGCACATATCAATTAGCAGTATCTATCATACAAACTATAGGTTACAACATAAATAAAGTCTAAAAACGAACATACAATGATTATGAAAGGGGTTCACGTTTTTGTGTGCTTAAAAGACAGTTCTTAAAACGGAGTTTAAATGTACGATGTGAAGTGGCGTTTCTAATGGCCAGTGGTATCTGATTCCACAGGTTAGAAGCTCTGACAGAAAAGCATAACTGTCCAAAAGTACTAGACCTATGAGGAAGTACAACGTCCCCTCTTACTGCAGACCTTGTGGTTCTGCTGAATAAAAGCACAAAGTGGTGGGGGATCTTAAAGATTAAACACGCATCACTGTGTTTTAAAATATTTTCCCAACTAAGTAGATTATATTTGGTAAGGACACTACAGCGATGGTAGAGGTTGGATTTTTTGTCTAAGACCTTAAGTGCCTGTTTGTGATAGGATAGGTCCTAATGTACCACACACCTGGGTCCAGCTTGTAATACAATATGTTAGATGAGGGAATATCATAGTGTTCATGTGTAGCATAGCTGCAGGTGTTGTCAGTGTCTTACATACCTAAAGCTTGCTAGATGATATTTGGTCATTTGCAGACATTGAAGGACCTAAGCGTCCTCAAGAAGTGCAGTCTGCTGTGTCCCTTCTTGTAAACGGCTTCGCTGTTCTTTCTCCAGTCCAGTCTGTTGTCCAGGTGAACTCCAAGGTATTTGTATTCCTCAACCACCTCCACTTCTTCTCCCATGATGGAAACAGTGTTTGACTCCACCCTGTTTCTTCTGAAGTCTAAAATCATCTCCTTTGTTTTGTTCACGTTCAAGGTCAGATGATTGTTTCCACACCATGCCACAAAGCGCTCCACCAGCTCTCTGTACTCAGCTTCCTGTCCATCTCTGATACACCCGACAACTGCAGAGTCATCTGAGTATTTCTGTAGATGACAGGTCTCTGACTTGTACTGGATATAGACTTATAAAGTCTACATACCTCTGCTTTGGGCCCGTTTTTCTTCTTCCTCCTTCCTTCGCTTTGGGAATGCTGATCCCGATGGCTTAGGTGTTCTTTTCATCATAAAATATGTTAAAAGTTTAAACGCGGCAACAGGATATCCTTCTACAGTGCTACCCACGCACGTGATCTACGGCACCGTTAACGGTCAAATGCATCGGAGTGGTGGCTCAAGCGGGAGCTCGTCATGCAGCCAGATCATTAGAATTTAAATATTGATGTTTTAATTTCATGTCATTTCAATGGGGAATTTTGAGTATGTAGAGTGCATTTCATATTACAAACATAAATTTAATAAACTTTTTTTTTTTTATTTTGCGCCCTATCCATCAGATGGCGCCCCAGGCGGCCGCCTGTGTCGCCTGTCGGCAAAGCCGGCCCTGGCACGGCTGCGCGCAAAAGCCAGCCCCGCCGTCAGCACCGAGTTGCACGGTATGTCTCTCACCAATCGTTGCAATTTAATGTGTGCACCTGCTCAACGTCACTGATCCATAATGTTTGACGTGGCAGCCAAAGCTGCAAGTGACACTCAGGTGGCGCTTTCATCAAAGAGGCGCACTGGTTTTAGTCTGAAAGGATGTTTTTCATACAAACATGCCAAGAAAAACGATCAATGACATCTAAACAAGCCAAAACATGCATGAAGCAAATGGATGAGTGATGCATTCTGCAGACAACATTGATGAAGTCAAGTCTCTTTTGGATGAAATGATCATTTGTGTTGAGGAGGCAAAACGACATCGTTCGTCTTTCATGTTGCTGGACGTTCCTCAGGATGAAAGAGAAAAACTAAATACATATTTCGTTGAAAAGGAAAACGTGTTTTTGAACTTTGCAGATGATGTCAAAGGGTGGTTATCAAATGTTGGCCATTCATATGAATTTTGTATTGAAGCCTCCTGACAACCAAATCCAAAATGAGATGGGACCCGATGACGGTGCATCAGATAACACAGCACATCCCAAAATGAGCTCTAAAGTCTCCAAGGTTTCATCTACTGCATCAGCAAGGTTACTGGCACAAGCAGAGGAAGCAGCATTAAAGGAGCGCATGGCTGCCTTACAACAAAAGCACCTTTTGGAGGCGCAGGAGGAACAAATAAAATTGGAACAGGAGGAATTACAAAAGAAACGGAAACATTTAGGAAGAGAAAGGGAGCAACTGGCTCTGAAGGCAGAAATAAAAGTGACAAATTCAAAACTGGAGGTTCTGGAAATAAATTCAAAATGTGGCTCAAGGGCGTCAAAACGTGTCCTCGCATCAGATGGCATGAGTTCTTACTTGGAAAAGTCAAAAACTAAAGAAACAAATGGACTAAATCCAAATGCTGAACATTTTGTGCCAGCCAGTCAAAGTCCTGCATTTTCACCCAGTCTTCCATTCGATTCTGCCGTCGTCGGAGTCAAACCCAAGCGTGTGGAAATATAAGTTCCTAAGAAATATGTCATTGATGTTCCTCAAGGACAAGTAATGATTCGCCTGTTTTGCCAAACACTCGTGGCAGCGTTATGTCTAGTAACGTTCCAGA